TAACTCATCAAGTAAGGAAGTTTGAAGCTTTGATGTGGGAAATTCAAGAAGAAAATAGAGAAGCATATGAATACCTCATGCGAATTCCATTGGACAAATGGACTGTTAGTCATGATAATGGAAAAAGATGGGGAGTACTGACAACAAATCTTTCAGAGTCTTTCAACGGACTTCTAAAGAAAGCTCGAGGCTTGCCCGTCACTGCTATGGTTAGACTTTCATTGGAGCAAACCGTTGAACGATATACTCGTAGATGTCAAAAAACTCACCAACTTATTGAGCAAAAGGAATTATGGACAAGCAGTTTCAAAAAGAAGTGAGAGAAAAACTATGAAAATTCAAAAAGACACTTTGTTTATGATTGGAATATATCCACAGGGGTATATGAGGTTAGATCAATACAAATTGATGGTATTGGTGGTAATCCTCATTGTATTTCATTAAGTGAAAAAAAATGTGATTGTGAAAAATGGGCTAATTTGCACTTCCCGTGTTCACATGTCATGAAGGTTACTGAAAGAATGGGAGCATTAGCTAGAAATTTTGTCAGCGAGCATTTCACAATAGAGAATTATGTTACAACATATTCTGGGTCATTTTCACCGATTGGACACGAGGCATATTGGCCATCACCAAGCTTTATAATGAGAAGTAATGAATTCTATCGACGTCCCAATCGATCAAGGACCACTAGAATTCATAATGAGATGGATCGTGATACTGCAACATATGGGCGGGCTTGTGGATTGTGTAAACAAACTGGGCATGACAGGCGTCGATGTCCAACTCGAAATCAAATTTAAGTGGGTAGTCTAATTATGTATTTCTTTTACTTTCAAACAGCTCTAATTATGTATTTTTTTTAACTTTCAAACAGCTCTAATTGTACTATTTTTTACTAAACTGCTTTCATTCACTATCTTGAATATTTTTATAGCTTTAAGAAACTAACTTAAATAATATACTACCACAGTGAAAAGTTGAAAATAAGTGTAAACCCGCTTAAAATCACATATATCCGTAGCCGATAAGACGAGGGAAGGAGAAGGACATGATACCTTACCTACTTTATAAAAATATTATAATAATATACTACTTCAATTTCAAGACAATATTGATCCCTATTTTGTTCTTAATTTGTGCAAGACTGCGTCATTAGCAAATATATAAACTAATGTTACATACAAAGTTTTACTATGTTTTATACCTCTTTTAACCTCTCTTTTCCCCATATTCACTGTCCACCTTCCAAAGTAAAATAGAGCAAAAACAGCCTAATTAATCCTTCTATATATATATATCCATAAATATCATTCTTTTGTCTTCAGAGAAATAGACTTTGTTCTATTAAACCAAATTTACACAATGGATAAACTCTCAATTGTTATTTCTTAACTTTTACATTTTGTGTAACTCTCTCAAACAATGCAGCAGCATCACCAGGTTTGGCGTCTACACATCAAGAGTAGCAAATGATACAAATTGCCCAGCAAATTGTCTCACATCCTCATTATCAACATTAAAAAGAACATAAAGGATACAAATCTTAGAGGTTAATTGACACCCCACCTCAAAAAGAACAGCAAAAACTACTTCCTCAGTCTCATATTGCCTAGCAATACGCCTATTCATCGCGAAAAAAGTTCTTCTTCACTACTAATTTCTTTCAACAATTAAAGTTATGATCTTTACACTTCCCAAGTAGAAATTAGACACAAATGGATTCACCAACTCATATACAACAGCAATATGCATTCAAGATTTTGCTCAAAATCAGAAACCTCTACAATGTAAACAAATTCCCTTACCACGAAGCTCAAATCTGTTAAAAATCCCCAAATCAACTGTCACTATTAAAAATCAAACAAATCTGAGTAACCCAAATTTACAGCTAACATAAAAATCGAAAACCCCAAATCAAAATCAAACAAAAATAATCATAAAAATTTGATCTTTACCTAAAGCAGATACAAGGGGTTGAAGGAAAAAGAGTTGGCAAGTGAATATAAAGTTAAGTATCAATGCTGAAAACAAGAAACCCCTCCATGCCACAAGATCAAAGCTCCATATCTTCATCAATGGCTCCATCATTCAACTTTGCAAATTCACCTATAGATACATACAATATATCAGCAGCTCCAATTTTCAGCAGTACTGGCTGCAATTTTCAGCAGCCACAAAAGGTTTCAGCAGCTTCAATTTTCAGCAGTACTGGCTGCAATTTTCAGCAGCACCAAAAGGCTTCAGCAACACCAATTTTCAGCAGCACCAAAAGGTTTCAGCAACACCAAAAGATTTCAGCAACATCAATTTTCATTACTTATTCTTGGCTCTCTGTTTTTGGACATGTTGGATAGCATAGTGACCGCCTGTAAAGAAAATATAAATATTCTATTATTCTAAAAGAGAGTAAAACTAAATAAAAAATGTCAGATGTTAAAGTACCAGTCCCACAAGGCTCAAGTTTAATTTTACGCTTCTCCCTCCTTGATGGTTCACTATTTTGAATAGTCGTATCACCGCCTTCACTTGCATCCTTTGGAGCATTATCGTCCACATCATGATTCGGGTCCTCTAAACTATTAGTGGCATCAGGGGTTTCAATGATCAGAGGCACAGGAGATGAGTTAAAATTTGGGACATTCTCAAAATTACCAATGACATTCTCAAGTGATGAAAGACTTGGATGACTTGATATTTGTAGAGTCTGTGGCGTCACGTATGGCATGATATCTGTTTCTGACAGTTGATATGTCATATTTGATGCCTGAGTGAATTCATGAGTGCAACCTCCTGAAATAGAACCAATATTATAATTGGATGTTGCTTGATCATCTTCTAAGGCTTCTTGGACATTTTGTGTGGCCTGATCTATTTCAATATGTGTTTGTGCTTTTTCAACAGCACGTTCTCTCCTACCTGCAACACCACCTTTTCCTCGCCTACGAACTGGGTGATGTAACTGTACAGGTTGTACCACATCTCTTCTATAATCGGCTGACACATGAACCCTGTCAGCCTCATGGACATATTTCAAACAATCAGAACCTTGATCTCGCACCATTTTTCTAAACATGTATAAGGCCTCATATGATGGATTATCACTAAGTGTTTTAGCTTCATCAACCATCGAATGAATATGTCGCACCTAAATAAATTAAAGCGAAAGTTATTTAATGACGCACCATTAATCTGATGATTTAGATCGGACTATCACTTAAGCAATGAATTCACTGCCAACTAAAGAATGCAACTGGCTGAATTCCAATCATTCATAAAAATGAAAATAACATCTACATCTCCTCATCAGTATCCCCACTTCACTACTCTCACTCTTTTAATTTTCCTAGATATATTACCTTTAGCATTTTTCTAATTACTTAGCAGTACCAAGAACAATGAAAAACTTGCCAGCAACTACATTAAACAAGATAAATGACACTAAAATCAATAAAGACACATAAATCACTTGGCAGCAACAACACTAAACAACAGTAATCAATAAATGGCATACCATAGTTTCATATGACGTCGAATTAGGCACATAACCTTGTTGATTTTGAGGACGTGAATTAGGATTACCAATAACAAGACGAGTAATGCGCCTGAACCAAATAAGATATGGATCATCATAGCAAAGTGGTTCATTATTAACCGGTGCATCACAACTATATTGGAGACGTTGGTTCCAAAATGATAACCAATGTGCATGTTCCAACTCCCAATTTGTATTTGGTCTTCCTCAACGATCATGGCGAAAGTGGTTGGAATCAAATGGAAACGGAGTTGGTATAGCTTGTTGTAGTCCAAATTGCCTCATAACACGATCTGGCAAATGAACCTCGGCCACATCCCAACAAAATATTGGAACTCTAACTCGCCATATGTCTCGTCCAGCATGACAATAGAGAGGAAGACTCTCAATTAAGTCATCAGAATACGGTTCCCAAATAAACTACATGAAAAAAGAAAAGAGCAAAGTGAGTCTTTACATTTACAATATTTATAAATAAGTAAAAGCAATGTACCTGATCTTCTATCACAGAGTCAAGTGCATCCCTATAAACTTTCAACACATGCTTGGTAGTATTCGTCCAACTAATATGTGCAAACCATCTAGTAGCATGCGGACCCCTAGGCAAACCAACATGACAAATAGTTCTCGCATCTCTGTGGGCTACTATTTGAGGACGGAGAACAGTGACTCTCTCCCACGCCCAAATCTGGGAGAAAGAGTTTTAGGATTACATCTCTAAAAAATTTCATCCTCCAATAACACTACAGAGACAAATTGAAAGAAATATAAATAAATTATATGTACAATCATTAGGTATACCTGAAGTAGTGGCAAAAATCCGGCTATCTCATTTTGGGTACTCTGTGAAGCTTTACAAAGAAAATGGTACAAGTATGCCAAGGTCGCACTCCCCCAACTATAAGATCCAATTTTATTGACGTCTTCGAGCATAGGCAGGTACATAAGCTTCAAATAACCACCAGATGTATCCGCCATCATCATACCTGCAATCATCCAGAACATGAAACATCTTGCCTTCTGATTAACCATATCTTGTGTTGCCATGTTCGACAAATGTGGCTGGCTTAACATGTGTGAATTAAATGCA